TTATTTATTGTGTATATATTGTGTATATATAGGTATATATGTATATATGTATATGTATGTATGTATGTATGTATGTATGTGTCTACGTATCGATGCAAGTATGTATGTTTATATATATATATTTATATAATAGCTCTCATCCGCGTACGCAGACATTTTCTTTTGTCCATCATATCCACAAATGGGACTAAACAGTTTTTAAAACACTCTCCTAAACGCATATACAGACATGTACAATATCCAAAGAAAGGCACACTACCTTTAACGGATCTGTATGAAGTGTGTGACAGCATCAACTCGTGGCTGTTGTCCGATAGAGACAACGTCGCCGTCATCCATTGCCAGGTGTGTGAAGTGTTCTTGGCTTGTCTAATGTGGAAGCCCTCATCCCTAATTCTAAATTCCTAATTTCAAATTGACCAATTCCTAGTTCCTAATTCCCGATTTTATGTATTTTCATACCCACAGAATGGGGTGGCCAGGACCATTCCCCTAGTGGTCAGCTATCTCCTGTTCACCCAACTGTTCACGTCGCCGGAAGTGGCTGTGGCGCATTGCTCGATCAAAGGGCGCGCAAAAAGTGGACTAAAGATAAGACCATCCGCCAATAGGCAGGCGGCAAATCTGCTGAAGATCGTGCAGGGCGAGTAAGTGTGGGTGTGGGTGTGACTGTGACTATGACTGACTATGAGAGTGATATGTGTGTGGGTGTGAGTGGGAGTATGACTATGACTATGACTATGTCTATGAGAGTGATATGTGTTGCTTAGCATCTCTGCTGAAGATCGTACAGGGCGAGTAAGTGGGAGTGGGAGTGTGACTATGACTATGGCTATGAGAGTGATATGTGTGTGGGTGGTGGTGTGAGTGGGAGTGTGACTATGAGAGTGATATGTGTGGGTGTGAGTGGGAGTGTGACTATGACTGTCTATGAGAGTGACATGTGTTGCTTAGCAACTCTGCTGAAGATCGTACAGGGCGAGTAAGTGGGAGTGGGAGTGTGACTATGACTATGACTATGTGTTGCTTAGCAACTCTGCTGAATATCGTACAGGGCGAGTAAGTGGGAGTGTGACTATGACTATGACTATGACTATGAGAGTGATATGTGTGTTGCTTTGTGTGATTCGAACCCACAGACCAATCGACAGGCAGTGACTCAGCTGACGATTGCACAGGGTGAGTAAGTATATGTCTGAGTATATATATATATATATATATCGGTTGAATAATATATGTACCTATTTATAGACCAAACTGATGACCAATGAGGAGCTTTGAGCCATGGAGCAATACACATCATCTATAGTTAACTACAGCGTAGACGGGCACAGGTGCATGTGAGTACCTGTCTGTGTGAATGGATTTCCGTATTATTTTTTTATGTATTCTCATCAGTATCATACCTCTATTTCTGCTCCCTCTCCTTATTCCCATATGCATTTTATCTGTAATTCTGTGCCCGCTACGTATTCCGTCCGTATTTATCTTTACGTATTCCCATCAGTATTTTATATTACGTATTCCCATCCGTATATTGTCTTTACGTATTCCCATCCGTATTTTATTATTACGTATTCCCATCCGTATTTTATCTTTACATATTCCTATCCGTATTTTCTCCCTTCTGTATTCCCATCCGTATTTTCTCTTTTCGTATTCCCATCCGTATCTTACCTTTACGTATTCCCATCCGTATCTTACCTTTACGTATTCCCATCCGTATTTATAGTTATGTCTTATAATTGTTTTATCTTTACGTATTCCCATCCGTATCATATATTTACGTACTCACATCCGTATCGTACCTTTACTTATTCCCATCCCTATCTTATCTCTACGTATTCCCATCCGTATCGTACCTTTACGTATTCCCATCCCTATCTTATCTCTACGTATTCCCATCCCTATTCCATCTGTAGTCCTGCGCTCTCTACGTATTCTCACCCTTGTCCTGTATACGTCCTTCTCTTCTGCCCAGTCCACCCAAAGAGTCTTCGGTGCATGTGCAGTCGATCTCCTTCCCCAACCTACCCGTGTTCACATCACACCCCGCCAAGCCCTATGTCAACATACAGTGCAATGGAAAGATAGCGTTCTCGACCAAAGACCAGATACCAGATCTCAGGTGCGTAGTAGAAGTGTATATTGAGGTGTGGGGTAGAAGTTTGTAATAAGGTGTGGAGTAGAAGTTTATATTAAAGTGTGTAGTGGAAGTTTATATTATTGTGTGTAGTGGAAGTTTATATTATTGTGTGTAGTTGAAGTTTATATTATTGTGTGTAGTGGAAGTTTATATTAAAGTGTGTAGTTGAATTTTATATTATTGTGTGTAGTTGAAGTTTATATTGAAGTGTGTAGTGGAAGTTTATATTGAAGTGTGTAGTGGAAGTTTATATTAATGTGTGTAGTTGAAGTTTATATTATTGTGTGTAGTGGGAGTTTATATTATTGTGTAGTTGAAGTTTATATTATTGTGTGTAGTGGAAGTTTATATTATTGTGTGTAGTGGAAGTTTATAATAAAGTGTTTAGTGCAAGTTTATATTATTGTGTGTAGTTGAACTTTATATTAAAGTGTTTAGTGGATGTTTATATTATTGTGTGTAGTGGAAGTTTATATTAATGTGTGTAGTGGAAGTTTATATTAAAGTGTGTAGTTGAAGTTTATATTATTGTGTGTAGTAGAAGTTTATATTAAGGTGTGAAGTTTGTATCAATGTGTGTGGTAGAAGTCTATATTACAGATTTCAGGTGAGGAGTAGAAGTTGTTATATGCGTGTGATCTCGTACTATGTGTGTCGTGGTTGAAGGTGTGTATGGGCTATGCGCAAGGATGGTTTCAATGCTGATGATGGCGTGTATAATCGTTTGAATAAGGAAGTAAGCATGCCTTATATGGGCATGACTCTGCACCTGTGGACCCACTTCCACTCTTGCACGTCTGCGTATGCATGTGTGCACAGACTATACATATGTATATTCGTAACTTTCGCCTTCATTTGCATATAATCATAACATTCTGCATCATTTAGAACATAATATGTATATATATGTATGTGTGTGTGTGTGTGCGTGCGTGCGTGTGTGTGTATAAAAATGTATGTATGTGTATGTATGTATTAATGTATGTATGTGTATGTATGTATTAATGTATGTATGTATATATATGTATATGTGTATGTATGTGTATATATATATATATATATATATATATATATATACATGGATGTCTCGGATGTCACGGATGTCATGGATGTGGGCTAGTACTGACTACACTCGCCCCTCGCCGCTGTCCAGCCGAGATTCGATACAGATCAAATGTGGGAAGTCGTTCATGGGAGACATCTCCGTGCAGCTGATGGTACCCACAAGGGAAGGCCCCGGCGCACACCTCTGCCTGGTATGTTATGAAAACGGAGGACTGGCACAGACGCTATACTGACTGTATTGCTGCTACTGTGTGATACTGTATTGCGGATACTGCTGTTCGTGTATGCTGTAATACGTCGAGTATCTATCTTCTCGGTCATCTATACAACATCGAACACCCCCACTCTCCCCCTGTCCTGTTTTCAGGTGCAACTATAAACCACCCACCCAACATATACACACCCTACATCCCCACTCTCCCCCTGTCCTGTTTTCAGGTGCAACTATATACCACCCACCTAACATATACACGCCCAACACCCCCACTCTCCCCCGTCCTGTTTTCAGGTGCAACTATATACCGGCTATCTAACATATACACACCCAACACCCCCACACCCCCACTCTCCCTCTGTCCTGTTTTCAGGTGCAACTATATACCACCCACCCAACATATACACACCCAGCACCCCTACACCGCCACTCTTCCCCTGTCCTGTTTTCAGGTGCAACTATATACCGGCTTCCTAAAATATACACACCCAACACCCCCACTCCCCAACTCTCCCCTTTCCTGTTTTCAGGTGCAACTATATACCGGCTACCTAGCCCCCGGCCACCACCAATACGACATTGTGGACCTGGACAGTCCCGTCAAGTCTCTGGGCGGGTCCTTTTATCTGGCCCTCGATGTGTCCTCAGGCGAGGGAACGGGTGCAGGCAAACCTCTGCCGTGGAAAGGGACCCAATCGCACCCGGAACAGGCCCTTACCACGTGCTTCTTTAATGACTCAGAGGCTCGTGGTCAACTCAAGGCGTACGGTATGTGTGGTGTGCTATGTATGTACTCAGTCAGTCGCCTGTTGTCTCTGGAGAACCCTGCCGCTTAAGCATGTGTCGTGTATTATTGGCAACGCTTGTCACATGTCGTACCTGTGTTCTATTGACTACTCTTATCACATGTCGTAAACGTATCCTGTTTCTAACGCTTGTCAAATGTCGTACATGTGTTCCCTTTACTACTCTTATCACATGTCGTAAACGTATACTATTTCTAACGCTTATGGCATGTCGTTTGACAGAGCGGGATCTGGTCACTGCCATCGGCCACTCAGCCGCAGAGTTCATTCCCAACCGAAAGGAAGGAGCGTCCGCCAAAAGCAACGACGCCGACGGCTACCGGACCACTCGCTCTACAACGTATGTAGTGCAACCGTAAAACCTTAAAACCCTAAACTCCAAAACCCTTTTGCATTCCCCAATCCATCTCAGTGTGTAGTGTGTGTGATGCTGTTTGGTGTCCCTCATAACATTCTCGTACCTCTAACAGTGAAACTCCGCTTACACGTTCGTATACACCCCGTCAAACACCCACTCAAATCCTTGCAATTCACTCCCCCCCTCCTCTCACCCCACCCCACCCTATGTACCTCCCAGCGGCAAATCCGGACGGGGCGCACCCCGAGGTCGCCAGCAACGGTCCTACCCAGACCGCGAGACCCGGGACAGGGACAGGCACCCAGTGACCACTCCTGCAAGCAATGGGACCGGTCCTGCCCCCGATGGTCTGGGCAGTGGCGTGGGTGGGGGTGGTAACAACATGCTCCTCGATCTACTAGGCGATGGCCAGGCCATGGCCGCCACACCGTCGCCGCCCCCGACGAATAGTGGTATGCATGGATGAGTGGGTACGTGTGTTTTGTTTGTGTGTGTGTGTGTGTACGTGTGTTTTGTGTGTGTGGGCGTGTGTGGGCGTGGGCGTGTGTGTGTGTGTGTTTATTTGGATAGCACTTCAGCATGTATAGGATATTGTATATAGATGGATGTAGTATTAAATTCGAATTCGCGCCACTCTGTGCTATGGCCATTCCGTTTTACGTTTGTTTTACATATATGACTCTTTGCCTAATAACTATTACATGTAGAATTTTACGTTTATTTTACATATATGACTATCCGCCTAATAATTATGATATGTACAATTTTTGCCCTACATATACTATTTGTCTATTAATTCTGATATGTACAATTGTACGTTTGTTTTACATATATAGCTCTTTGCCTAATAATTTTTATATGTAGAAATTGGCGGATGTCAGGCCCACTGCTTTGCTGCGCTATTTGTGGGTAGGTATAAAGCGGTCAGTGTTGATCTGATACGCTTTCCTTATCACTGTGTGTCGCATGATTGGTGGCAGGTATACGCGTACTGCAACTTGTGTGCTTCTGGAAACGGTTTCATTGTATACTGTCATTGCCCTGCTAACCCCACTGTATCACTAATACACACACCGACCACCCACCACTATCCTGAGACAATCGGCTAAGGCCAATACACTCCTAACCCTAAAACCCTAAAACCCTAAAACCCTGGTCTTTGTACACCCCATCCCCTGAACCACCAGTCAATATCATGGGCGTGTCGGATGACGAAGGAGACGACGAGTTTGGGACGTTTGGAGAGATGAGCAGTGGTCTGGGTATGGACAACACCACTGCCGGTATGACAGAAGGCCTGGATCTATTGGACTTGGGAGGTGGTAACCATGGCAACAGTCCGCGCGGGGGTTCGCCTCCGGGCGCGCAGACGAGTAATACTAACAGCGGCGGTGCAGGAGCATCAGCGTTCGATCTACTCGGATTGAGCGATATGCCTGGTGTGTGGGGGTGTGGTCTTGATTGTGTGTCTAGACTACTTACTGTACCTTTGATATATATATATGTGTGTGTGTGTGTGTGTGTGTGTGTGTGTGTGTGTGTGTGTGCATATATGGCATGTTTTGAGTGAAGCACCCGGAGTGTGCTACTATCTCACTCTACTGCCTCGTCGCACTTCCTCCTTGTGTAGTTCTTACAGTATCGGTAGTGTAGTCACAGTCTCGTGGCGATGGGTTTGTATCAATAACTCACCAGACATACCAACCTCTACAATAATCTTTGTATAAATTCTGTCTGTACGAACTAACCGTGCCACGCACAGATTTCCATTCTCATTCCCATTGTCAGTCTGTTGTGGGATATGCATAAATGGATATTGACTGGATATCATACACTTCATAGTAATACCAGACACATAGACACGCATACACTTCATCGTAATACTAGATGGATATTCGTTTGTGGCACATACTCGACGGTATTCACCGTATATGCATATACACAAACACCCCTATCTCACGCCGCACTAAAACCCTAAAACCCTACATAAACCTAAAAACCCTAAACTCTACTCCACTCCACTCCCCTGCAGATCCTTCGGCCACCGTGAGAGCTCCCCCGTCCAATGCCGATCCATTTGCGAGCGATATGATTGGTCTAAACCCGGATGTGATGGGCTCGACCAATGAGGATTCGGGAATGCACCGCAGCCACAGTGCCGTGTTTGACAACGAACACCGCAACTCCATCCCACGCAGCCACAGTGCCGCGGATTTTGACAATCTTTTGACGCCTGTCACCAGCAATGGCAGTGACACCAGCCAGGCACACAAGTAAGCGGTGAGAGTGTTTGTAGTTCACACGAGTGAGCGGTGAGAGTGTTTGTAGTTCACACGAGTGAGTGGTGAGAGTGCTTGTAGTTCACACGAGTGAGTGGTGAGAGTGTTTGTAGTTCACACGAGTGAGTGGTGAGAGTGTTTGTAGTTCACACGAGTGAGTGGTGAGAATGTTTGTAGTTCACACGAGTGAGTGGTGAGAGTGTTTGTAATTCACACAAGTAATCGGTGGAGTGTTTGTAGTTCACACGAGTGAGTGGTGAGTGTTTGTAAATCACACAAGTAATCGGTGGAGTGTTTTTCATCCCTGTGACTATGTGAGGTTGTACGTTAAGTCTTTGTCGGTTTCTCATATCGTTTCCTTGTGTCTTGGATCCGAACTATGCGTGTTCGCACCTGAATCCTAAACCCTAAACCCTAAACCCTAAACCCTACGCACGCATCCCACCGAACCCCACCCAATGGCTGGAAGGTAAAGATATTGTACTCTGCATGCGATGTAGACACTTCAATACCGAATTACCAATCCATCACCAACCCCAACCCAAGCCCAACTCAAATCAAAACCCAACATCAACCCCAACCCAAGCCCAACTCAAATCAAAACCCAACATCAACCCCAACCCCAAACTCAGCAGCACACGGCCAAATAAGCCTACCACAAAGTCGCCCCAAATCCCCGAAGACCCCTTCGGAACACTTAACACAGGCATGCCCAGCATCAACCAAACCACCCCATCCCCTCTAGGCACAGCCACCGCTGCCAACAACGGAACCTCTCCCAGGCCAAACGCTACCGGAAACCTAGGTGTGTGTGTGTGTGTATGTGTGTGCTATAGTTGTGTACATATATGTTGTAGATGGGTGTGTGCGTGTGTGTGTGTGTGTGCTATTGTTGTGTACATATATGTTGTAGATGGACGTGTGTGTATAGGTTGGTTGTTTGCTGTGTTTAGGGTTTTTAAGTGTGGGAAGTCTTATCGGACGGTATTGTTAGCGGGAGACGTAGATACCTATTACATCCTTATCCCAACACACAAACACACAACACACAAACACACAACACACAACACCTGGTCTTCCATTATCTCCGCCACACAGTCTTACACTCATGCCTACCGCCACTGCCCCCCCCCCCTCCCTTTATTCCTATCCCATCACACGACTTATCTACAACACACCCAACTTTCCCACCTCACACAGGCGGTGCCAGCTACGGTATGCCCACCCGCGGTAGGCCCAACTACGCGTCCAGTCCTATGCTGCGCTCTCCTGCACCGTCACCCCACCGATCGCCACAGCCCACACAAGCCAATTCTCAGCAGTCCGTGTTTAGTACGGTAACGGGTGTGGGGGGTTCGGGTGTAACCACCAGTCCAAATGTTGGGGCTGGGACAGGGCCAGGGTCGAATGATCCGTTCGGCGGCTTGGGCGGCTTTGGGAACTCTAGGTAGGCTTGGGTGGGGTTGGTGTGTAGAGGTAATGTTGAGTGGAGTGTATGGGGATGGTGTGTAGGTAAGTTTGTGTGCGGTTTTTAGCTTGAAATGTGTACTGTGTATGTGGCAAATCCGTGTGCAGTGTGTAGGTAAAACTGTCTTTGTAGGTGGAACTGTATGTGTAGGTATAACTGTATGTGTTGGTATAAGTGTATGTGCTGGTATAACTGTATGTGTAGGTATAACTGTATGTGTTGGTATAAGTGTATGTGTAGGTATAACCGTATGTGTAGGTAAAACTGTATTTGTAGGGTATAACTCTATGTGTAGGTATAACTCTATGTGTAGGTATAACTCTATGTGTAGGTAGAACTGTATGAAGTGTCTGTAGACGGAACTGTATAAAGCGTGTGTATGTAAATTCCTGTGTATTCGTATGGGTTTCTGTGTGTATTCGGGTTTTAGTACCAGCGTCCCTCTGTTAGGTGTGGCTGTATAGCCTTGCACTGCTACTGCTAACGGCAGCTTCAGTCCCCGTCGCTATGACTGTACTACAGCGCTACCAAGTGATGTAGTCGTAGAGATAAGTGTATGCCAGATGATCAGATGATGACAAGGCTACTAACCCTGAAATCCTAAAACCTAAAACCCTGGAACCCGTCGGCGCCTTTGGCAATTATTGATTACTACACTGTGTATGACACTCATAGGACCCACTGCTACGCCCGTGTGCACCCCATTATCTGCATTGCAATCCACAGCCCACTTATTCATATATATATGTGTGTGTGTGTGTGTGTGTGTGTGTGTGTATGTACTAGTAT